GATCGTCAAGGCCCTCGGTAGAACGTTCCCCTTTCCCGTGGTTGCTCGTATGCTGGAGTCACTCTGGGCTAAGTGCGGAACTCTTCAAATATCCAGTTTATCTTGGGGCTTCTATGCAGTCCGGTTTACCAGTCAGATGGACTACGAGCAAGCTGCAGTTGGTGGCCCTTGGATGATCGGTGACCATTACCTGACAGTCCGTCCTTGGCGAAAGAATTTTAACCCCGTACAACGGAGGTAGCTTCGGCGATGGTCTGGGCGCGATTACCAGGACTACCAATAGAATTTATCAACAGGGAAGCAGTGGAACCAATTGCCTCGCGCATTGGGAAACCTATTCGCGTTGATCGGGTAACTCAATCCGGCGCTATCCGGAGATTTGCCCGAGTTTGCGTCGAAGTGGATCTTACCAAACCCCTTCTCTCACAGTTTAAGATAGAAGGAACCACGTACTACATCGAGTTCGAAGGGTTACACCAAATTTGCACAGAGTGCGGTCGCTACGGTCACTCTATAAAGACCTACCCTGTTCAAAGAGACGGAAGTACCGGCGGCCAAGCAGAACCCACAGCCTCCAGCACACAACTCGCAAGGTCCCTACGGGGACTGGATGGTGGCTAAGACGCGTGGAAGGAAGCAAGTGAATAAGTGTCAGCAAGTTGACAAACAAAAGAGTGTACCTCAGGTGAAGTGCGAGCCAAACAAAGTGCTAGCAATGGATCCCGGTTTCAAGTCCTAGAGGAGGAACATGAGGTGATAGAAACAGAAACCAACCCACAGGAGACCTTAGTGCCGAACAATGCAGTTGTGGAGACAACCTTACCCTCTCGCACAGCAGAGGCCGTGTCTGAAACAACCCAGGCAAGTGAGGCATATGCCTGTAGTTCCCCCCCGAGGCCTTCCCTGGTGGAGGTGCCTATCACGATAGTAACTCCACAGACACGACCCTCTGAGGACGCTCTCTCAAAGGGGAATGGACCAAGCGATACTGTTCTCCCCAACCCCGCTCCGGTCTTCTCGGCTCAGAAAACCAATCCGGGTGACAAACTGCATGCCGATTCCGTTGACCCGGGGGGAACGGTACCACAGAAAATTAAAACAAAGACGAAGAGTGGAACAGCTGGGCCACAGACTCAAGCCAAAGGTACACAGAAGCAGCACGCCCAGCGTGCCGGGAGCCATGCGGCTCATATGCCTCGTTCTTGACCTCGCCACCTTGGGTGGTCCTTAGGGAAGTCCTTTCCCTCTTCTTTCATTTGTTTAATGATTAGTATTCTAGCTTGGAACTGCCAAGGGGCAGCAAGTGATTTGTTTGTTGTCTTCATTACGGTTATTTTGTGAACCTAACAGGCCGGATATTGTTATTATAGTCGAGCCGCGTATCAGTGGCGAGACTGCTGAACGAGTTATATCCCGAATGGGATACGATGGTCTTCTAATTGTGGATGCAATTGGTTTTGCAGGGGGAATTTGGGTCCTTTGGAACAAGAAAGATCTCCAGGTGACTCAGTTGTATGCTTGGGAGCATATGATCCATTTCCGTTGTACTCCAAGGGGATCTTTGAACAGTACGGTCCTGGTCTCAGCAGTTTACGGGAGTCCTAACATGGCACGCCGTGCAGATCTATGGAGGGAAATTACCCGTATTGCACACACAACTTCGGAGCCATGGATTCTGGCTGGGGATTTCAACTCCATTCTTTGCCCTGCAGATAGACGTGGCGAGGTGGAATACCAAGATGCTCGCACTAGACCATTTCCAGAATGCATGGAGCGGAGTGGTTTAATTGATGTTGGGTTTAATGGACCGCGATTCACATGGAAAAGAGGGAACCTGCAACGAGCAATGACTCCTGAAGTACCCCCATACGGTGAATCATCACCTGACCCGAATCGGGTCTGATCATCGCCCCATTTTGATAAAGTCAGTCCCACGGAGCAGCAGGAGAGAAGAACGACCTTACCGTTTTATGGCGGCTTGGCTAGCACATGAAGACTTCCCTCGGGTGTTGGATGAGACCTGGCAACCGCAGGTCGAGTTGCCCAGTTCCTTGGCAGCTCTCACTGAAGCCCTCACCTCCAGGAACAAGCGAGTCTTTGGGCACATTGGTCGTAGGAAGAGAGAGCTTATCCGGAAGCTTAGCAAGCTAGAGCTGCTAAATGAATTGAAGGAAAATGATAGGACACGGGCTCAAGAGATTGCTACGAGGCAGGATTTAGAGGAGACCCTTTGGCAGGAGCAGATGTTGTGGTTCCAAAAATCGAGGGCAGTGTGGATAGTTGAAGGCGATCGAACACGCGTTTTTTCCACCTCTCCACTTTGAGACGTCGTTATTCTAACAGGATTACTGCCCTGCAGGATGATTCTGGTACATGGGTCACGAATGATGAGGAATTAAAATTGTGGGCTCGATCCTTTTACCTGGAGCTCTACCAAGCTGAAGATGGGGAAACTTGCCTAGTCCCTGCTCATTTCACGCGTTTGGACGAGGCTGCAGGGTGGCAGCTAGCTCGGCCTCTATCCCCTGACGAGGTCTGGCAGGCGGTCAAAAGCATGGGTGGTTTCAAAGCTCCGGGTAAGGATGGGTACCAACCTATTTTCTACCAGAAGTATTGGAACACAGTGGGCCAGGCCCTTAGCAGGTTTGCTTCGGACTGTTTTAGCCAACCTACACTGATTCGGCGAGTGAATGAGACGTTGTTGGTGCTCATCCCAAAGAAAGAAAGCCCTGAGACGATCCGTCAATTCCGACTGATTAGCCTGTGTAATGTGGCTTATAAGACTATAGCCAAGTGTGTGGTGAACAGGATCAAACCTTTCCTACGGGAGCTGGTTCATCCCACGCAGTCTAGCTTCGTTCCTGGGAGACACATTACGGACAATATAATTATTGTTCAGGAGATGGTTCACTCTATGGGGCTCAAGAAGGGCAACAAGGGACAGATGATTTTGAAGATCGACCTGGCTAAGGCCTATGACCGGCTCAGCTGGCAGTTTCTCCAAGAAACTCTTCAGGCAACTGGTATCCCAGACTCCATGACCGGCCTAATTATGGAGTGTGTAACCTCCCCAATTATGCAAGTCCTGTGGAACGGAGCGTGCACAGAGGAATTTCGGCCTTCCCGGGGAATTCACAGGGTTGCCCGCTCTCACCTTACTTGTTCACTCTCTGCATGGAGCGCCTCAGCCACACAATCCAGGAAGCAGTGGTTGGTGGCCGGTGGAAACCTGTCCGCACCAACCCAGGTGGCCCTCCTCTATCACACTTGTTTTTTGATGACGACCTAATTCTTTTTGCAGAGGCAAGTGTGACAGAGGGCGAGGTGATTCTGGATTGCCTAGACCGGTTCTGCAATGCCTCCGGCCAACTGGTGAGCAAGGAGAAATCAGTGGTCTTCTTCTCGAGCAACACGTGTCGACCGTTGGCATCGACCATTGCCAATTCGTTGGGGATGACTGTCACGCAGGACCTGGGGCGATACCTTGGGGTTCCTGTCCTCCACGGCAGGATTACTAAGGCCACGTACCGGTACATCATTGACAGACTTGAGAAGAAATTGGCGGGTTGGAAGGCGAAATCCTTATCTTTCGCCGGGAGGGTAACTCTGGCCATTTCAGTACTTAGCTCCTTACCTGTTTATGCCATGCAAACATCGTTCCTGCCTATTTCTATTTGTGACCAAATTGACAGGACGGTGCGGAATTTTATCTGGGGTTCTTCCTCCGAGAAAAGGAAGATCCATCTGGTCCATTGGGAAGCAGTTTGCCAACGGAAACAGGATGGGGGCCTTGGTTACGCAAGGCGCATGAGCTGAATCTTGCTTACCCCTCTAAGCTAGCGTGGCTTTTCCTTAAAAAACCAGACGAGCTTTGGGTGCAGGTCTTACAGGCCAAGTATTTCCGCCGTGTCAATGGTGCGATGGTGGCTAAATCCATGAGCCGTGCTTCGCCACTCTGGAGGGGAATAAGAAAGGCCTGGCCAATTATGACCGCCGGCATGGCTATGGCTATAAATGACGGGGAGAGTACGAGCTTCTGGAGGGATAGTTGGGTGGGCAATGGCGAGATTCTGCTGGATAGAGCCCTCGACTCTGCTACCCCGCCTGACCCCCAACAACCTGTAGCAGCTTTCGTCAACAGCCTAGGTGAGTGGGATATTCCGCGTTTGCAATACTACTTACCTAGTGATGTTGTATCGCAGATTGTGGGCATCCAACCTCCCATAGCGGGATTCGGTGAGGATGTGGCCACATGGGGACCAGAACGAGACGGTCGATTCAGGGTGCGATCGGACTACGACCTGGCAATCAACTACGAGGAGCTTCCCCAACCGTTCAAGTGGCGCGACATTTGGCGGTGGTCCGGCCCAGCACGCGTGAAGCATTTCCTATGGCTTGCAGCTCGAGACAGGCTGTTGACTAATGCGGAGCGCGGACGTAGACACTTGACCCACACTACCTCGTGCTCCCTCTACACCAAGAATGAAACAGTCCTGCATGTGTTGCGGGACTGTCCTTTTTCCCGAGAGATTTGGATGCAAGTAATCCCTGCTGCTGAATTCCAACCATTTTTCGGAGCTAGCACTCAGGATTGGATAATGAGGAACCTACAGCGCCAACACATGGAGCTTGATTTCGGCATCATTTGCTGGTACCTTTGGCGGGCCAGAAACGATCGAATCTTCGCAGGCAAGATCGTGTCAACTGAGACCTTCTTACAGCGAGTCCCGGCCTGGATAAATGTCGCGAGGATGGCTATGGACAAGGACAAGTTACTCCATCATACGCGTCCGCCTGCTAGAACGGAGGAGCTGATCTCCTGGAAGCCGCCTCCTCCTGAGTGGGTTTGCCTCAACTCTGACGGCTCCGTCCATAACTCAGGCTCTGCTGCAGCAGGGGGCCTGATTAGAGATCATTGTGGGCGCTGCCTGGCAGTGTTCACCATTAACTTGGGCACGTGTACTGTGACCCAGGCTGAGTTGAGATGAGCTGTAGAAGTTCTTCAGTTGGCTTGGGATACAGGCTTCAGGCGGGTTTGCGTTCAGATTGATTCGCATTGCGCCGTGCAGCTGCTTCAGAGTACAGATTCCAGTGACCATCATTACATGGCTACTATCTCCCGCTTCCATGAACTCCTTAAGAGGGATTGGGAGGTTAGTGTCAACCATGTTTATCGGGAGGGAAACAGATGTGCCGATTTTTTGGCTGACCAGGGCCATAACTTTTCGTTTGGGTTCCACAGTTTTCCGATTTCTGATCCTATGCTATACCATTGGATCTTGTATGATTCTTAGGGGCTCTCCGAACCCCGGTTGGTTGTGAATGAAAGTTAGAGTTCCTTGCATCCATTATAAAAAAAATCACTGTTTAATAATTCTATCGGATATCACGTTGTTTGATAATTCATTACCATATTTATGGGGTCTTTTTAGAGTTAGTTTTGAGCGATAATCATGACAGTGTCCCATGATAATTCATGACCATGTTCCTCTTAATGAAATTCAGAGTATGATAATTCATTATCATGTTCATAGTGTCTTTCTAGACTTAGTGTTGGTTTGCTTGTTGGATTTGAAAAATGAGGGTTTTGAGTTTTAGAAACCTTTGGATTTATGGTTGATTTGTTGCATTATGTATTTGGAAGAGTACATTGTTTGTTTAGTTGATCTTTTATCATGGATTTATGATGGATTTGTCTCACATGTTTGCCTTGCATCATCAAATCTCAAATGAAATGTAGGATTTGCAAATCCGTGGGGTTCACGGATTTGGATCTAAAAATATGGTCCAAATTCATGGACCCCATGGAATTGTGTCCCTTAACAAACAATGGCTTTGTGTGAATTCCATAATGCTTGGGATTTGGGTGCCAAATCCATCAACCAAATTCCACAAAGCAAAAGATACCTTAATTTTGAGTGATGCCGATGATGTGTTAATGTGCTTCTTGATGCCTTCGTCTTTGGGCACTCTTGGATGTGAAGATCGGAACTGTAGCTTGTAAGTTCACACAACTCTAGACTCAAATGAAGTAATGAACTAAAATTGATGTTCAAAATTTTATTGTGCAATAGTTCAGTTAAGAAAAATTATCCATCGATAACTACATGCTTACAAGCTTCGTGCTCACTACACAACATTACATTCGTGTAACGAGGGTTTTGTGTTTTCTTGTTCACAAAATCAAAAGTATACATCAAACACTTCAAATTTAAAACGATCGATTACACATTGAGATACAAATCGACGTTTGAAAGATCACTATGAAAGTCGAGTTCCTCAAGGAAAAGCTTCAAAATTCCACATCTTATTAGGCAATTAGTGAATAAGAACTAAAAAGATCATATTAAATACTGGACTGGGTCTGGGTAGGAAGGATAGTTCGTTCATTTCTCAACTCACTGGGCCAAGAGATGTAAGTTAAATACTTGCCCGAGTTGAACGCTATTTTTCTTTGATGAGTTGAACGCTAAACCAGTCGTGATTAGCTGGGAAATGGGTCCAAATCAAGAGGTTTTGTAAGTCACGTTGATAAAAGGGACATTGCTAAATCAGAATTATGGATCTTTCCTCAATTTCCACAATCTGAATGCAATCAGCTCGCTATGTTGAATGTTCTCCTGCCTAGATCGGCTGGTGTATAAAAAGGCAGAGTATGTTAACCAGAGAAGTCACCAACCTTCTCTTCTATTTCATCATATATCTCAATTAAGTTCCACCAAAGCATTCCACAAATGGCAGTCCCAAAAAGCAAGTTGCTCTTAGTGGCTTCCGTCTTCATTCTCGGCGCTTTGGCTTCTCAGGCCATGGCACGCTACACCCCTGACGAGGCTTCCATGCGCCTTAGGCACGAGCAGTGGATGACTCGTTATGGACGAGTATACGGGAGTTCCCACGAGAAGGAGGTACGATACCAGATATTCAAAGACAATGCAGCTCTTGTCGACTCGTTCAATGCCGCCGGAGACAAGCCTTACAAGCTGGGTACCAACCAGTTTGCGGATTTGACGAACGAGGAGTTCAAAACAACTAGGTGCAGGTTCAAGGGTCACATGTGTTCCCCGCAAGAAGGATCATTTAGGTATGAAAATGTGAGCGCGGTACCAACCACCATGGACTGGAGGAAGAAGGGAGCCGTCACTCCGATCAAAGACCAAGGGCAGTGCGGAAGCTGTTGGGCGTTTTCAGCTGTGGGGGCAATGGAAGGAATCACTCAGCTCAGTACCGGCAAATTGATATCCCTTTCGGAGCAAGAGCTGGTTGATTGTGATACCAAAGGAGAGGACCAAGGTTGTGGTGGCGGGTTGATGGATGATGCTTTCAAGTTCATTATCCAGAACAAGGGCTTGACCACCGAGACCAATTATCCCTACACTGCTGCCGATGGATCCTGCAGTGCTAGCAAAGAAGGAAATCCCGCTGCTACGATCAAAGGATATGAAGACGTGCCTGCCAACAACGAAGTCGCATTGATGAAGGCAGTGTCTAGTCAACCGATTTCTGTGGCAATTGATGCAGGGGATTCCTCGTTCCAGCTCTACGAGAGTGGGATATTTACAGGAGAATGTGGAACTGAATTGGACCATGGGGTGACTGCTGTTGGATATGGCGAGAGCGGTGGGATGAAGTACTGGCTGATCAAGAACTCTTGGGGTGCTCAATGGGGAGAAGAAGGATACATCCGAATGCAAAGAGATGTTTCTGCCAAGGAAGGGCTTTGCGGCATTGCTATGCAAGCTTCTTACCCCACTGCCTAGAATCAAAGCTTCTAAAATATCCATCCAGTCACTGCTCAATGAATACGTTTATGTTTGTAAAATACATTTGTGAAGTACTTATGTAAGTATTGTATACTTCGTAATGTTGTTGCTCATTGTTATATCTGAAAAACAAGAGGGCATGGCTTATGTGCCTATACCTTCAAGTTATCATGTAACTCTATGTCTAGTAATAAGATGTTCATTTCTCTATATTTCTTTTAACATAGATTTTTATTGCACTTTTGTTCCGATCTACAAAAACTTAATAAGGTTTCGATCTTCTAGTACCATTTATGATTCATTGCACGAAGAGCAATGATAATAAGAAACTTGGACACGTCATTAACGATTGATCAACGAATCTAGGTCTTGAGTATATGGAGATCCTGTATGGATCGAAAGTCGTTTGTTTCGAACAAGGGGAAGATCAAAGCTGTATGGATTGGATAACAGGGTTGTTTGAGTGCTATGAAATTTCATTAGGAGATCTGGGAATGAACTGGGCCACACTATTGCTCATGCTTATGTTGGGTGGAATAAAACCATTTATTGGGTCCGAAGGCCCCCGTCCCACTGTTTGGGCTTTTAGCCCGTAACGACTACTCAAACATTGTGTAATCCTTCTCATTTTATTGAAGGCTTGCGTAGGTTTTAATAACTGAATGGCTAAACATCGCCCTAATTTTACTGTTATCGCCCTAACTTTAAATATAAAATTACTAAATTAACCTTAATAAACCCAACAAACACACAGCCCTACAAATTCAAATCCCTAATTACGTTTCATCTCTGCCAATCAGGGCGGCGGCGTCCTTCCCCTACCTACGTTGGCCACCTGTCCTGTCATCGTCGGACTCCTCCCCGGGCGGCAATCCCTCCGATGCGCTGCCGCTGTTCAACCGAGGTTCATCTAACTCGAGATGGAACCTCCTTCATCAGTTGGCTTCATTTTTACGTGGCCGACGCCGCTCTCCTCTGTTATTAGTTCTTTGATACATTGGGGAACTTTGAAACCCGATATGTCAAACATAATTGAAGCTCTTTATTGCTTTAAGTGATTAGAAGGTAGGTGGATGTGGTTTGTCTTGGAAGGTGGTAGTGGTGGCAACGGGTGGAGGTGGTAGTAGCTAGATTAGTTTTGTTGGAATAAAAAGTCTCGACAATTATAAAAGGATATAAATGTAACTTTAGTTAAGGGCGATTATAAAGTTAGGGCGACAATAAGCAATCCCCTTTAATAATAGTAATAATAAAAACTTGGCGAGGAAAAAAAGGCGCAAAATACACCCATATGCTTAGCAAATGCACAAGAGTATATTTCTACCAAAAAAAAAAAAAATGCACAAGAGTATATTGGCGGTAGAATTAACAAAATCAGGGACCATGTACACTTCTACCTATCTATATCTATATATCTAATAGCGTCCAATGCCTCTCAAATACGGGATGGAAAGCCAACCACCTTGGCAAAGATTCAGAAAATTCATTCTTCAGGTATAGTAGAATGTTCCTACTGAGGAAGTATATTGAGCAGACAACTCTCCATTAATTCCAATTCCTTGTTACCAAATTCCTTCTTGTGAACAATTTTTTTTTGACAAAAGATAATCATATATTGATTGAAACAAATAGGTAGTTACACTCTGAAATTTAGCCAGGCCTGAAAATCAAAGGAACGGCACGTAGTCGGGAACAAAGACAGAGCCTTTCTAGCCACCAAGTGAGCTACCCTATTGTTACGCCGACCTACAAATCGTACATTAAAGCCCATGTTCACATCAAAGGATTTGACAATCTCTTCTGTTAGACCAAGCGAGGTCAATAATGAATACTTTTAACGTGGTCAATGCACAAATTAATTCTGATTTCAATAGCGAGAGATTAGCACTGGCTTGATTGAGCAAATCCAAAAGGACTTGCCAAGAATCTCTCTTGAAATGATTAATTAGTTGGCACTGATGAAGAGAACAAAGTTAGAGAAGGTATAGAGAGAGAGATGAGTCGGGACACGTGATTTTAACGTGGTTCAGCCAATATGGCTTTACATCCACGTCCCGGAGATAGTTACCACTATCTCACGAGAGACTCTAACTTTTATTAAAATAAAAGACTCTCTAACTTATGAAATTGAAACAACTTTGACACTTCGTGTCAATAACCAAATAGATGCAACTACACACCTATTCAACCCTTAGCTAAATCCAAGCTAAGCTACCCACTCAATCAATCAAGCAAACACTCTTAGTTTGACTTGTTTGAAGAGTAATCCACCTAGTGCAACTCCCAAGCAAGAATTCCCTCTTGCTCTTGCACTAGTCCCAATTACAAATACCCTTTCTACCCTAAAACCAAAACTAGCTTGAATATCTCAGCCCCCGAGATATCAAGCTATTCACACCACGAAATATGATCACACAATTTCGCTATTACAAGGGAGAAGAGAACTTTCCAAAAGCTTGGCCTACAAATGACTCTCCTATTTATAGTGGATGTGAGCCTTCATTTCCTTTCATTTGTAGTCCTTTACGTGGCAA